TCAATTTTACTATTAAACGATAAAGTGGCAAATTAACTCTTTGAATGAAAAATGTATTCATACATACTAGTGTGAATTAAATAGAAAGCTTTATATTTTCCTCTTTAATATAAAAAGTATGTGTTTACTCATTTACCCATTACGGCAAGAAATTATGAATGTTGCTGTAGAAAACCGTCCTTGTTAGGCACATTGCAGAAAATGCTAAAGCTGAAAGGCATTTTATTCCCGGTTACCGCTTTAATTTACATTTAATTCCTTTCCGCTTCGGTAACAAGAAAATTGTGTTTTATTTTGGCTGTATTGACTTAAAAAGATATTAATCATGGAAATCATTATATATTTTTTGTTTTCGTCTTAAGGGGAATTAAAAAAGGTGCTTGGAAGTGCAAAGTGATAGAAAAAATAGCGGATTGTACTATCCTCCAATTTTTTAGGCATAAATTGCTCTAATGCAAGTTGTAGGCCTTTTTCTTTTTCTTCGATTCGGAAGGAATATCAAATAAACTGACGTTGATTGATGCCAGAGAAGTGAGAAATAAACTCTTAAAAGCTCCTCCAGTAAATTATTTACGATTTGGTTACTTTGAGCTATACCCACTTTGCTGGATGTTGGAATTTAGAAAGCGTTGGAAATAATTCTTCTATATTTAATGATTGCCGTACATTGCTTAGAAATTGTAGCAAATCAACCCAACATGGTTCTAGTTATTCTATTTGCAGTTCTGCTTGCAAAAGTGTTGTCATAATAGGAGAAATTAATCATTGATCCATTGTTTTGTATTTAAAATCGTAAATGCCACATAATGCGATTAATTAAAATGTAGTCTCCGAAAGTTCTCGATAGAGGGAGTTGTTCAGCACGAAGGAAGATGAAATATAAATGATAAAATATTCCGCTACTTGTTTGGATTCAAGGAGGACGTGGGCGTTTTGGCATTGTTGAAATATTTGCGGATCGACGAAGCCTCAAAGCCCTGAGTCACTGAAAAAAGAAACTTCGATTCCTCGCTGCAGGTTTGCCATATTGTCAAATTACATGTTTACTGTGATATGTTTCGTCCTCTCTACATTTGATCATGAGTTAGGCATGCTTTCAGTCAAAAACTAATATTTTCTCCTTTTTCGCAAAAAAGAAGAGCTGTTTAAACAAGTGAATCCTATATTTTACTGTTTTTCATTAGAAATTTTATTGCCTTATGTTGTTTGGCACACTATTTTACCCACTCATCCCATTTTGTAGAGTCAGTCGAATTTTAAAGACTTTTCTATCACTTGTTTATAATTACGTACTTCGAAAAGGAGTTGTTCCATTTTCTTTGCAACTATCATTTACTCCCACTTACTGATGTCAGATAATTCCCGGGCTTAATTTGAATAAAAACACCTGAGTATCGTAATATAACTATGAGTGGAAACTTGAGAAGATTTTAAATGGTTTTGTTGTTTGCCTTTCCCAATATCCAAATGTTTTTTGACGTGTTTAGAATTTTATTAACTTAATGCGATGACTTGTTTTTGATGGACTTGTTACAAGTGGATCTCTTATAATTTGTTTAGAGTGAGCGAAGCGAGATTGCGCAGCGACAGAGCGAGCGACGAACCTTGGTCCTTTTTTTGATTAATTTTCCTGAAAGTCTTTCACTCCCGCCAATAAAATCTATCCTACTGCTATTATCACTTTATTATTATTATTATTATTATTATTATTATTATTATTTAATAATAATAATAATAATAATAATAATAATAATTGTTATCATTATAAATCATAATTATAATACTAATCATAATTACAATAAAAATAATAATTGCAATTGAATTAACTTCCATTGAAACCGCATCAATCGACAAGCCCAATAAAAGTTCATGCGATAGACTTTAGCCAAGTCCGATGACGTTGATATTCATTCCAGGCTCGAATGTGCGAGAAAAGTATTTTTTGTTTGTTTTTGGCATCGCAATCTTCTGCTCTCCAGCAAGCACATATTTATGTAAGTGTGTGGTTTGATTTGGTGACCTCAGATAAAGGAAACGACATACTTCTGGAATACCACTCATTGAAAGTAACGTTCTAGATGTCAAGAGTCCTTATACAGTAACCTCAACACCTCATGAATTGCCGAATGGAAATGTTTTGAATGAGGTTCCAAACGAAGAGATCACGAACGATTTTATTGAGATTTTTTTGAGATTGTGTCATAGCACTGCAAGGATGCGTCTCTAAAAATACGTGCTTTTTTTCGCTCAGGTCATCTGGTGTGTTGCTCACGTTTGATTTGCACTCTAAAAATAGTTTTTATCATTGTTAAAGGAAGCCTGAGAGGATTGAACTAGGTTTTCCTCGGATTTAGTAGTTCGCTGCCCAAGTAAACGAAGACATAGGAGCAGGAAAAATTTCAGTTAGTTCTCAGTGTGAAAACTCTTCATGTTTTCACACTCTGTTTTCACAGACTCTGTACTGGCCTTTTGTTAATTTAATCATGTAAAAAAGTAAGAATGGCTAATCAAAGTGTCCTTAAGTTTAAGCCGTTGTAGAATTTTTGGATAAGAGTTTGTATATTCAGTTGTCCAAGAATTGTGGATATTACACATTACTGTGTTATTAGCGGACTCCCGCACGCGCTTGCCTATATGGTAAAATGCGCTTTGTGTGGTTTTTGCACTCAGTGATACGGGAAATAAATCGCCATATCAGATTCCATTCAAGAACGTATTCTCCTCTAACAAATCATGCGTACATTCTTTAGACACTGGCTCTTATTGACCTCATTCACTGTTAAATACGCTGACTAAACCAGAGTCTTCCAGCAATGTGTTTTTGCACTTAAAGTTCTACGAAGAATTAACAATTATTGGACGAGGTTGAGCAAAATATCATGATTTGTCAGTGGCGAGCAGATCAATTATTTGCCTAAGGCTGGGGTAAATAACTGATCTGCGAGAGCGATCGCAACTAGGAGAAAAACGTGCTTTCATTTACACGTGAGCAGAATATTATTTGCAGTCAAACAAAGTTGGATGACAGTGTACATGAGCAGACCATTATTTGTAGGCACTTATTTGCAGTTCACGTGGTGAGCTCTAGGCCAATGAAAAGGAAGAAAAATTTGCAACGAGTGATAATTTCGTTTGCTTTCGACAAAGTATGGTTAATTCTTTCAGGACGTTTTCGTTAAATCTATGTCTTGCAATTTTTACGTCTCACTAAAACTTCTGCCATTTTACAACTATTACTTCTGTGAACCGAAGGTTTCAAAAACATTGTGCTGACACTATTTATCAGGAAAGATTTTTGCCATTTCCGTTCTCAGATGAAGTAGCCTTTATTTGAGTTTATTGTTTTGTACGTGCAGTGATTTTTATCATTTGTCTTTCAGACATTATGATGTAAATCGTCAATTATATGTGAAACTATTATCAAAAGAATCTGTCGAAATTTGTTTGGGTCCCTAAAAACAACAACTGGCACTTTTCCAATTTTCTATTACAAAAAATCGCCGAAACTGATTTCAATCGAAGCGTTCTTAATGTAGTTCTCATCGAGCCTTCGCAACCGGACTTCGCGAGGATCATTTTTTACACCGCTAAATAGCTTAAGGTTACGCCGTTTACAAAAGAATAGAAAGTCTTCATATGCGGCTTTATTAATTTGATTGACTATGAAAAATTATATGTGGTTAATTTTCATAACATTTTCTTGGTCGTTACAAGTATTAGTGAAGCTTCCGTTCAAACTGCCTTTTCATCTGAGTCGTTTAGTTGCAAGATCACGTGAGCAATCATTTAGCCGCATTTTAAAGCCGAATGGTCACGTAGCCGTAGATCACGTGATAAAAAGTAGCGCCCACGACTATTGAAGACGTGGTCATAACGTACGTAAAAACGACTCGAAGTCAGAAAGTCTGAAATTCAGTCTAAGTCTAAGCAGACTTTTGTTGGAAAAAAGTTTTTGATTGCTGTTTTTGCTTACGGTAATAGAACCAGATGGGATGATCGTGCACACGAATGGAAATTGCTTTTTGACATGATTTTATGATGTTCCGTGCCTTAAAGTAGCAATTATCAGCTCTTGCAAATTGCAGAAATGATAACTTTTAAAGATAGGGGTATCGTTGTAACACATAGAAAATTGTTCCTATTACAAACCCTTAATTTTAACGTTGATTTAATATTTGGTACGACAAGTTCTGTTCGAAACTTCAATGCCTAACAAATTTTTAAAACTTTTAACCGACGTTTCGTTTTACTGAAATACTGGAAAATCTTATAAGCGGCAATCTTCAAAGAATCAATTTACTTTCTAAAAGATGGAATAGCATAATTAATATTATTACATTTAAATTTGCATTTGATAGAACAGATAACAAGCGAGAGATTCACTTTTTGTTTGAGAATCCTGACGAAGGGACCATGTAAGGTTATTTAAATTTTTTTCGGTAGTCTTTCTTTTCCTTTCTTTTTCTGCTTAAGTCGAACCTCGAGTTATGTTCTCCAGGCTTTTATAGTCTGCAAAGTTTGAGCCTATGGATGAAATCCTCAAGTTCAAATCTTCAGATGAAAGCTACTGACCACTTTCCTGTGTTACTGTTTATTATATTCTGCAAGGTGCTTCAAACTTTTGAGTTTGTCGATGAAATCCTAAAGTGTGACCATTCAAATGAAAGCTATTGAGCAGTACTTTACTATGGTACAGTCCATTAGCCTGTACTGCTTCAAACTTTTGAGTTTGTCGATGAAATCCTAAAGTGTGACCATTCAAACGAAAACAATACTTTTGTGTGGTATTGTTTATTATACTGAATAAGGTGGCTCGAACTTTTGAAAAGTAGGACAAAGTGTGACATTCAATTGAAATTTCTTTTTGGTGTACCGTTTGTTATGCATTGCGTGGTGGTTCTAACATCTGACTCTGCAGCTAAAATGCCCGGCGTTATACGCTAGTCAGATGAAAGGTTCTACTTTCTATTCACATTGTTATATCCCTTTTCAGATCTAGGATGCAGTCATATGTAATCGTTGTCTCAGTCGTTGCTGGCGTATCGGTGTTCGCTGTTCTTGTATATTTGGTTTTGAAGATCTACAAGAAAAGGGAGGAAGGTGGAACGGACGCGGAAACAAAAGGACTTTGTCCTCCCAGTATAATCGTCACATCGTCTAGTCCAAGCCAGTCCAAGAAGAAACTTTACTCGCCAGCTCAAAGAAGAGCTGCATCTAAAGAAAACGAGGAAAAGGTGGCTAAAAGAAAGAAGAAAGAAAGAAGTGTGTGGCATCCGCCAAAGAAGACGGAAGGCGTGCCCATAATAAAAGCTACGTTGGTTCAACCCACGGTGGTAGAAAGAAGCAAGGTACGAATGTCAATGTCAGGATTTAGCGAGAGAGTACTAATTGGGGACATTATTTTTACGTCTCCGACTGGAGACGGGACAACCATTTTGCGTGTTCATCCGAACCACGGGAAGGTGTAGCCGCTTGCAGTGCAAAGCGACTACCTTCGTTTCTCACAGTTATGTTAAGACCCTGAGTATTGGTCGGCTCCCGGCGGGGATCGAACCCTCGACCTCCCGCTCTGCAGTCAAGCGCTCTACCGACTGAGCTAATCCTGCCGCGGACCTTAGGGTTTATCCTAGAAGCGCTTTCGTAAGGTTTGAATAAGGGCGGATAAAGGTTGGGCGATGAAACAAGCGCTTCTGAACAAAAAGGTGTGATGCAGTGGTCTGGGACTCTGCTTGGAAATGTCGCCTGTTTTCGACTTCGGTAAGGGCTTGCGTAGTCTGCGTAGCAGGCGCTTGAAAGTATTAATGGGCGTAAGAAAGAACTGACGCGCGAGGGAGATACGCGAGGGGAGAGAGAGCTACCTCTCCCCTCGCGTGTCTCCCTCGCACGCGCCCGTTCTATCTTGCGGAATCGGAAATCTACAGAAAAAGCCATGCTGCACGTACGCGCGTGGAGAGTTGCTGTTTTGCTTATCTTAGAAAGAGAACACAAATTAAACGAGGTCCTTGTTCCGCCTTCTCCTGCTGAGTGGAAGTGTGAAGTAATAGTAATAGCTATACGAAGTTCCTCCATTCACCTACAAGAAAAGTACGGTACATTACAGCCTGCAAATGTGTTTACGTGGCTCTGTTAGGGGAATTCTTGTTATAAGGGTGTTATAATTTTGATAAGTACCTTTCCTTTTCTAATACTGACTTCTCCAACACGAAGGCAGAGTTCTGTTGAAGTCTTGGAAGAAAAATACGGGATATGATTTTTTTTTGGCAATTTTTTATGAAAGAACTTGATAATTTACTTTACCTTTTTTTTGTAAGCTGCAATCCTTTTCCTCGATCCTTGCCAACCGAAAATTATTTTCTGATTTGTTAGCTACTTAACTAATGGCACTTTTTTCTAATCAAATAGCGGATACCTCAGCTGAATCTTGAGTTGCTATAAAATAGGAGAGCTGGCTGCGGGGTTGAAAAGCTGTTGCTTCATTTGGCCAAAAAACAAACAAACAAACAAAATAACAGCAACAACGCACCACGTGTGAAACCCGACATGCTCGCTCCAACCCCATACCAGTCCTCGTTTATCAGTGGCTCTGACAACTTCGTAACTTGGTTTTTCTCAGGCAACAAGCAAACTGAGTTTTTAGTTCATATACTTTTAAAAAACTCTAATCAAACCTGGAGCATTTTCTGTTTAAATGTTGTAGTTACATCTTTAGTTTCCTTTTTCTTACTCAACGAGCGGTACACTGCGAGGGCGGGTGCCCTGTTTACTGAAGAAAAGTCACCTCGCCTCATCAGACAAAGTGCGGAAAATGCAGAGTATTTTCCCCTTTTGTATTGCAATAATTTCTTCTCAAAACTGGTCCACTTGATCGCCCTTAAATTATTTTTTAATGTATATTTTTGTTAGATCTGTGCTTCTGGTAAAGCTTGACAGCGCGCAGGATCTTCCTGCCAAAGATGATGACCTGCTACCAGATGTTTTCGTTAAAACTCAGCTTATTCCCAGCCGCCAACGAGTTTACATCTATTAAAGATCGAGGTTTCAATAGTTTTGCATCTAGCATGATAAAACTATCAGTTAGTGAAACAAAATGGAGTAGTTTGTTAGCCAGGACCCGCGCTCTTATTCTTTATATTTTGATTTGAATATTTGATTTCTGGCCCGAAAAGTTATCTGGACTTTCGAGAAACGGGCCCCAAGTTTGTCGCTTGACGACGTCATTGAGGTGGATGACAATCTGATCCCAAAGCACATCCGTTTCTTTCCTGCATGTGATTGAAATAGTAATACAAGTTTTGAACTTTCATTAGGTGCAGTTACACGATCCCTTTTACTGATGGGCAATGGCTGCTGCTTACAGGACCTTACAGGGAAGCAACTTTTTTGTGTGACTGCTTTCCCCAAGGTGGCCTCGGGAAAATATCCATGGATACGTCAAAAAGAACAAAAGAATTACCCATGTCAGTTCCCGAGGAACGTTCTATGTAACCTGAGATCAGGCTCAATTTTCGTTTCGCTTTGTAATAACATTCCGGCGGGTAAGGCGAAACGAAAAGCGGTAGCCGTTAGAGAGAATGTATGAGAACCGCTAAAATTGGGCCTGATGTCAGGTTACGTTCTATGGGTTGAGAACCCAAAGCGGCTCAGCCAATCAAGACAAAGTGAAATGTACAAAACAGTAGAAATCAGGTGTTGGTTACGTGCTGTGTTCGTCTTTGGCGCCAAATCCCATGCGACACTGGGCTGGACTCAAAGGGCGCTTTCCATTCAACCAAAACATTGGAAAATCAGGAAACAGGGGCAAATAGTGGAGAAATTTCCCGGAAATGTTTCCAGAAATTCTGGAAGCTGTTGAATTTTCGAAATGCGAATCATTTATCATACGAAAATTCTAGAAATTGTGGGAGCAAATAAAAAGTTGAATGGAAAGAAAACTTCCGGGAAAAAGTTTCCGAATATTTGGGTACACCCCGCGAGGTTGTCCTACTTTAAAGATTTTGGAAAATGCTGTGCCATTAATTCGCTAGTACTGGAAGTTGCCGAAAATTCAAACCGGACTTTTTGGTTGAAATGAAAGCGCCCAAAGTTCCTTGAAACACTCGTACCGATGTGGATCGTTGATCGAGCTCGGCAAACGTGTCGAGCTCGATGGTGGGTGCACGTGTAAAAGACTTACGAGGTCATCTTTGATGTGTTTCATCAGAAGCATACAACCCCGATTCGGGGTTATACCGTAAAATTCCGAAAATAACCCCTGGGGCTTATATTTTTTAAAAGCCCTTTTTGAGTGGCTTATTTTGGACGGGCTTATATTCGGAGGGGCTTATCTACGGAGGGAAATTTGCGTTTCAAAATCGATTGGGCAAGCCTTATAGTTGGAAGTAAATTTACCTCTTTTTGCTTTGTTTTACTTTATATTTGAGGGCAATTTTCCAAGTACAAGCCCCCGGGAGCTTATATTTGGAGGAGCGATTTAACAGAGGGTTTTTTGCGTTGCCGGATTGGTGGGCTTATATTTGGAGGGGTTTATACTTTCGGAATTTTACGGTGTAAGGTCATCTTCAAAGCCAGTTTTTTCTGCGTCTTCGATTTACCCAGACTTCACCGCGGCTTCATTTTTCGTTTTCATTTTCCGCGCGCCAAGACCTTGTGATCAAGATTCTCCAATCAGCGCATGTAATGGAAACCAGTCTACCAAGCACCCAGCACAAATGACCATGAATGTTGAGCAAGAGATAAGATTTAACTCCCGATTCATTCGTTTATTGGAAAGGAAAACACATCTTTCTTGAGAGAAGAGCAATTAAGAATACCTGACCATTTATGCGGTTGATTGAAGGTGAAGAAAAAGCCAGAGTTCTCGAAGAACAAGCAAGAATTCAATAATCGGAGAGCGATGCAATTGAAGAAGAAGTTCGGGCGTGAAAACACGATGTAAGTTTTAAGACTTGGTGCTGATTACTGTATTTTGTTATATTATAACTTCAAGCTAAAATGGGCGTGCTTTCTAGTTTTTAATTTTTTATTTCTACTCAAGCTTATATACACGGGTCCAGGGTCTATCAGTTGTTTATAATTACGTACTTCGAAAAGGAGTTGTTCCATTTTCTCTGCAACTATCATTTACTCCCACTTACTGATGTCAGATAATTCCCGGGCTTAATTTGAATAAAAACACCTGAGTATCGTAATGTAACTATGAGTGGAAACTTGAGAAGATTTTAAATGGTTGTGTTGTTTGCCTTCCCCAATATCCAAATGTTTTTTGACGTGTTTAGAATTTTATTAACTTAATGCAATGACTTGTTTTTGATGGACTTGTTACAAGTGGACCTCTTATAATTTGTTAAGAGTGAGCGAAGCGAGATTGCGCAGCGACCGAGCGAGCGACGAACCAACCAGGAAAAAAACTAATTAAAAGGACTTTCAGAAAGTGAGGGCGGTTATTTTAGATAGGATGACGATAATAGTGAAATAATAATAATAATAATAATAATAATAATAATAATAATAATAATAATAATAATTGTTATCATTATAAATCATAATTATAATACTAATCATAATTACAATAAAAATAATAATTGCGATTGAATTAACTTCCATTGAAACCGCAACAATCGACAAGCCCAATAAAAGTTCATGCGACAGACTTTAGCCAAGTCCGATGACGTTGATATTCATTCCAGGCTCGAATGTGCGAAAAAGTATTTTTTGTTTGTTTTTGGCATCGCAATCCTCTGCTCTCCAGCAAGCACATATTTATGTAAGTGTGTGGTTTGATTTGATGACCTCAGATAAAGGAAACGACATACTTCTGGAATACCACTCATTGAGAGTAACGTTCTAGATGTCAAGAGTCCTTATACAGTAACCTCAACGGAATGGAAATGTTTTGAATGAGGTTCCAAACAAAGAGATCACGAGCGACTTTATTGAGATTTTTTTGAGATTGTGTCATAGCACTGCAAGGATGCGTCTCTAAAAATACGCGCTTTTTTTCGCTCAGGTCATCTGGTGTGTTGCTCACGTTTGATTTTGCACTCTAAAAATAGTTTTTATCATTGTTAAAGAAACTTGAGAGGATTGAACTAGGATTTCCTCGGATTTAGTAGTTCGTTGCCCAGGTAAACGAAGACATAGGAGCAGGAAAAATTTCAGTTAGTTCTCAGTGTGAAAACTCTTCATGTTTTCACACTCTGTTTTCACAGACTCTGTACTGGCCTTTTGTTAATTTAATCATGTAAAAAAGGAAGATTGGCTAATCAGGGTGCCCTTAAGTTTAGTCAAGTCGACAAAGCCGTTGTGAATTTTTGGATAAGAGTTTGTATATTCAGTTGTCCAAAAATTGTGGATATTACACATTTCTGTGTTATTAGCGGATTCCCGCACGCGCTTGCCTATATGGAAAAATGCGCTTTGTGTGGTTTTTGCTCTCAGTGATACCTGAAATAAATCGCCGTATCAGATTCCATTCAAGAACGTATTCTCCTCTAACAAATCATGCGTACGTTCTTTAGACACTAGCTCTTACTGACCTCATTCACTGTTAAATACGCTGACAAAACCAGAGTCTCCCAGCAATGTGTTTTTGCACTTAAAGTTCTACGAAGAATTAACAATTATTGGACGAGGTTGAGCAAAATATCGTGATTTGTCAGTGGCGAGCAGATCAATTAGTTGCCGAAGGCTGGGATAAATAACTGATCTGCGAGAGCGATCGCAACTAGGAGAAAAACGTGCTTTCATTTACACGTGAGCAGAATATTATTTGCAGTCAAACAAAGTTGGATGACAGTGTACATGAGCAGACCATTATTTGTAGGCACTTATTTGCAGGTCACGTGGTGAGCTCTAGGCCAATGAAAAGGAAGAAAAATTTGCAACGAGTGATAATTTCGTTTGCTTTCGACAAAGTAAGGTTAATTATTTTAGGACGTTTTCGTTAAATCTATGTCTTGCAATTTTTACGTCTCACTAACACTTCTGCCATTTTACAACTATTACTTCTGTGAACCGAAGGTTTCAAAAATATTGTGCTGACACTATTTATCAGGAAAGGTTTTTGCCATTTCCGTTCTCAGATGAAGTAGCCTTTATTTGAGTTTATTGTTTTGTACATGCAGTGATTTTTATCATTTGTCTTTCAGACATTATGATGTAAATCGTCAATTATATGTGAAACTATTATCAAAAGAATCTGTCGAAATTTGTTTGGGTCCCTAAAAACAACAACTGGCACTTTTCCATTTTCTATTACAAAAAATCGCCGAAACTGATTTCAATCGAAGCGTTCTTAATGTAGTTCTCATCAAGCCTTCGCAACCGGACTTCGCGAGGATCATTTTTTACACCGCTAAATAGCTTAAGGTTACGCCGTTTACAAAAGAATAAAAAGTCTTCATATGCGGCTTTATTAATTTGATTGACTATGAAAAATTAGATTTGGTTAATTTTCATAACATTTTCTTGGTCGTTACAAGTATTAGTGAAGCTTCCGTTCAACTGCCTTTTCATCTGAGTCGTTTAGTTGCAAGATCACGTGAGCAATCATTTAGCCGCATTTTAAAGCCGAATGGTCACGTAGCCGTAGATCACGTGATAAAAAGTAGCGCCCACGACTATTGAAGACGTGGTCATAACGTACGTAAAAACGACTCGAAGTCAGAAAGTCTGAAATTCAGTCTAAGTCTAAGTAGACTTTTGTTGGAAAAAAGTTTTTGATTGCTGTTTTTGCTTACGGTAATAGAACCAGATGGGATGATCGTGCACACGAATGGAAATTGCTTTTTGACATGATTTTATGATGTTCCGTGCCTTAAAGTAGCAATTATCAGCTCTTGCAAATTGCAGAAATGATAACTTTTAAAGATAGGGATATCGTTGTAACACATAGAAAATTGTTCCTATTACAAACCCTTAATTGTAACGTTGATTTAATATTTGGTAAGACAAGTTCTGTTCGAAACTTCAATGCCTAACAAATTTTTAAAACTTTTAACCGACGTTTCGTTTTACTGAAATACTGGA